TATTGCACTGTGTGTGTGTGTGTGTGTGTGTGTGTGTGTGTGTGTGTGTGTTGGAGGCAGTAGAGGCCCATTGTGTCAGGCTTTGTTGGTGATGAAATTCTCCTTAGAGGTGCTATGAAGAAGGGCGTTTGGTGCGGGTGAGACAAGGGCTTGGGAATCAATTTTCAGCCTCTTGCTGTGGTGGGCAGCCCTGTGGGAGCTGCATGGCACTGCCGAGTCCCCTGGGGATCCTGTCGAGCAGCTGGGGTCCCATGCTGCAGAGGAAGGGAGATGTGTCCATCTTGGCAAAAGTCGGCTCTGTGCTACTGCCCTCTGACCAGTGTCCTTGGCACAGATTTCTGCATCACTGGCTTGGGGTTGTCCTGCTTGTGGCCATTGTTTGTCTTCCATGTCACATTTTCCCTTTTGAGGGTTCAAGTCTCCTTCTGAGGGGACACTTCTCCCAATTTCCCCCCACTCACTGCAGTGCTTCAGAGGTGGTGTATGCCCATGTAGTCAGGCTGGGTGCTTCTGGCAGTGGTGCCCTTTGACCAGGCGTGCGGCCCACTGATGAGTGTGCCAGAGGGTTGGATTGGCATACCCTTGTTCTGAGCCCTTGGTGTGCCGCTATGCTGTGGCAGGGGCGGGTCTGGGTTTGGGGGTCAGTGATGACCTGTGGATGGCCAAGGGATTCTTTCCCCAGGGGCTTAGCCAGAGGCAGCAGGCACACACACCATCAAGCCACACACAGTCAAGTGCAGCCACATCCATCCTCTGAGCACCAGGAAGGAAATAGAATTTATACTGGGGGAGGTGTCTCAGGTATCGCAGGAAGGACAAGTAGATGATAGCCTGAGATCCCAGGCCAGGGCAGCGTGGACTGGGGAGATGGGTGCCTTTTCCTCACCTCACATGTGGCTTTTTCCATGTGCACTATTCAGGGTGAGTTGCTGTGGCACACATGCCTCTGCTGGCTGGGCCTGCCTTCTGGACCCCAGAGGAGCCTTGGAGGGCTGCCAGCCTTGTGTCCTCATGACCAGCTCCGGGCTTGTGGATGTTCAGGACAGTAAGTGTTACCTTTGCAACCTGTAGACATCTTGCTAAAGACCTTGTTGAGCCCTGAGGAGCTCTGTCCTGGTAGGCTGCAAACGGCCCATATCCTGTGTGGTCCTGGGGCACAGTGGCATGACATTGGGCCTTGCAAGGCCTTTGGGGTCCTCTAGGTGGAGGGCGTGTCCAGTTTCCCTTGGACTGGCAGGCAGCTGAGGCATCTCTGCACGTGCTTGGATCGATGATGATACCCCAAAAAACATTCCTTGGAAAAGCTGAACAAAATGAGTGAGAACTGCAAACCGTCGTTCTCATCGTGACTGAGGTCCAGCATGTAGCCTCATGCAGAGACTGTAGGAGAAGGAGTCTGTGTCCTGTGCTCACATCCTCAGAGCATACAGGGATTCATCACTTGGCAACCTCCTGTCTCCAGAGCCTGAGGAAAATGCGTTCAGTTGGCAGAGACCAGCTAGTGAGACCTGGTTTGAATGGATCTTGATCTGTTTGTTGTTCATGGAGCTGAGGGAATGCTTAGCAGTCCTTGCTAAGTTTCTCCCAAGGACCCTTTGGGCTTTAGTAGTGCCCATTGTTCCAGTGACAGAATACTGAATATCCACCCGTGTTCACAGAGGAATTTCTCAGTTGACTTGTGGATTCTGCACCTACAGTGTCCTTCTGTATTCTACCCTCAGGCAAAGCTGATATAAGAAGCTTACTTGACCTTGGCAGGTGCTGCTCAACATGCCAGAGAAACAGACACACTGAATCCTGCACAAAGCTGTGGTTATTAGAGCAAGAGGGGGGCATCATCAGTGAAGGCCCTGTCCACAGTCAACAGACTCACAGAGAGAAAGATCAGTTGCTTATAGGTTGGTCTTTGACATTGCCTAGGGGAATAAGGAACTGTTTCAGAACACAGTGGGGAGCAGTCCATGTCCATCAGCCAGAGGTGTTTCACGCCCAAAGGGAGGCTTGTGGGCACACAAAGAATTAGTAAATTTTCCCCACTCATCCCAGGGGAGCCACCACCGGAGTCAGAGTGAGCATTCCTGTTGCACATGCACCATCAACCTACTCCCTGTCCATCAGAGACAGGGGAAGAACCACCCCAAGTGGTTGACTGGAGCTCCACACAGTATTTCCATGACACTTGCTGTCAGATCCCCTGGCCACATGGCCCAAGCCAAGGCTTCTCAGATTTCCCAACATCAGGGCTGTCTGTGTGCCCCCACCCGTCAAAGGTGAACCCAGAAGCAAATGCTTCTTCCTACTCAGGACCAGCACTAGAGAGTGGCCTCCTGCATCTAGTCACCACTTCCTATTCACATAGTCCATCAGCCTTCTAGGCCCTGTCCACAATGCGCTAACTCAGATGGCCTTCTCCTCAAGGGCTGGTTGTGCCCTCTTCTAGCAGAATGAGGACCTGACTCTGAGCAGAGTCGGGGCTTGCCGGGACCCACCAGGGCATTTAGTACACCACCAAACAGGAGCTCCAGGAAAACTCACTAAGTCTTCAGCACCTATTGCTTCCACAAAACTCACCTCATGTGAGCACCTTAGGGATCGCTTCAACTCCAGACTTGCTGGGCTCACCTAAAGCACATGAGGACAGGGGACTGACCTCTCATGACCCCTTGGTGGCCAAAGGAATATGAGCATCTCACAATGCAGCCCCGCTTCTGCAGTTCCTGTGGGAGGCAATGTGCCAGACCTCAGTCATGGTGAGAGGGACAGTTTGCAGTTCTCACTCATCCTGTTCAGCTCAAAGAAGTGTAACTGACGTGTCATCATCCATCCATGGACTCTTAAAAATGTGACAAGCATCTGCCAGTTAAACTATGAGACAGTGGAGGCCCTGGAGGATCCCAAGTCTCACCATCAATCCCCATAAATATAGTCCATGTGAGGTAGGAACCCCCATAGGCCTGTGCAGACCCAGGTCCTGGTGACACCACAAGGTCCTAAGGGCAACATCTACACCTTGCACTAAAAAATGCTTACAGTCCTCAACCATCAACATCAATAGAGCTCATTTCCAGCACACAAGACTTGGAGCAACTCCCTAGCACCACCGTGTCCAAGGAACCAGATGTACACAGCTGACGGTTATCCATCCATGCCAACTCTCAGAGTAGTAGACATGTAAAACGCCATGCATGAGGGGGAGAAGGACACTGGAACACGGTAGGTGCAGATTCCAAGCATCAGCTGAGAAATACCCTGTGAATATAGGTGGATGTTGACGTATTCTGGCAGTGGAACAGTGCTCTTTGCTGTAATGAAGCATGTACCGTTAATGAACACTCCTCCTGTATGTGTATGTTTGTCTATACTATATGAGGACCAACTGTTGGACATATATCTTACATAATAAGTAAGAGGGCAGTTAGCTGAATTGAATTGCTGCTGTCAGCTTTGTACCTGTCTGCTTTTCTGAAGCATGCCTGTATTTCTTCTACATTCCTCAGGTGGTACTGCCATGTGATGGATTCCAGAGGACTACCAGGAAGACTTCTTTATCCTAAGATACAATGAGAGGTCAGCATACCCCAGGGCGAATGTGAAAAGGCTTCTTTTGGTTGATGGTGGATGGCTGATGATGGTAAACAGCTCCTTGAGCAAACATACTTTTGGAAAGCTGAACAAAGAGTGAAAAAACTATACTGTCATTCTCATTGAACTGAGGTCCAGCACACTTCTCCAACAGGGACTAGAAAGATGAGGGATTGGAATGAGACAGCTGGCAATTACTCCCATTGAGAGCAGTGCTCAGCTGGGCCAGGAGTAGGATACAGCCCTTCTTAGGTGAAGGGCCATCACCTAACGGTGCTTCGGACTCTCAGGTGCAACATGTAGCTGGTTTGCGTGGCCTCTTCCCTGTTTGACTGGAAGGTCTGGGGCACACAGAGCCTGCCTGTGTGGGTGAGCCTGCTTGTGCCCTAGGATGAATTAGCCTAGCTGCAAGCCCGCTTCTTTGCTGCCATTTTGGTTGCTGAGTGTTGGTGCTTTGGTCCATTGTTCCCTAGAGGGAGACATTCCAAGTTGTTGTGAATGGAGCCCAAGGCAGGCCTTGGCACTGGCTTGGCTCCCTTTGATGTCCAATAGTTAGCTAGCAGAGCCTCAGGACAGTGGGGTGCAAGCAGTGGGAGTATGTTTGCGGTGTGTGGCCATTGGGATTTTGCTCCCTGTGGGAAGGCTGGAGAAGGTACGTATGGTTTTCCCTTGTAGGAATATCCTGGAGAAATGCAAAGTGGGTGGCTTGCTGGGCCAAGAGCAGGTGAGAAAAGTATCAGGGAGTGGGTGCCTTGCATGTATTGCATGGAGGCTCAGCAGATTGTTTCGGCAGCTGTCTCTGGAGTCTGGACCCACAGGACTTGTGTGGGATTTCGTGTGTCCATCTCTTCTGGCCTGTCATAAGCTAGACACAAGCAAGTATACAACTTGGAGTTAGACTCTGGTTTTAGCCCCTTACTAAAGGCAGAACAGTGAAGGACACTGGAAGTAGAGAAGCCATGTGGCTGTGTGCTAAGTTGCCCATGTGCACTGAGACTACTGATTGGGGTCTCTGTCCCCAGATGTGTGTCATAGGCTGCTGTGTTCTGAATTGGCTGAGAGAGGACATTGGAGGGGAGGAGTCATAGAGAAACTTTGTTGGGAATGGGATTGGTGCAGTGGAAGAGGACAATAAGTGAGGGTTGTTTTGTGTTGCAGACGTGCCAACATTGTTTGTATGTTGAAAAGAAGGTATGGTGCTCGTGCTCACTTTTGGACCAATCAGTATGGAGAATTCCAGGCTCAGGGTCCCCTGCTTGTGCCTAGTGCACAGTTGCATTGTTCATAGAGTGAGTGAATTTGCCTGGCCCTATATGGTCCTATACCTATAGCAGTCTGTGGCGAACAAGTCCCCAGTAAGGTCAAGACTTTCTTTTGTGGATGTCAGGCTCTATAGGTGTTTCTTTGTAAGGCTGCAGATGAGAGAAGGGCTTTAGTGAGAGGTTCTAGTTTCTTACACTTTTCCGTAATGATACATTCACTGAAAATGAATGCCCGTTCTCTGTGCATGCATGTTTGACTCTACTGTGGAAGGAACAACTGAGGCATATGGATCTTACAGGGGAGGCAAGAGGGCAGTTGGTCAAAGTGAATTGTTCTGACAAGCTGTGTACTCTTTTGCTTTCTGAAGTATGCTTGTGTTTTTTCTGCATGTCTCAGGTGGTTTTGCCTTGTGACAGATTCCAGGGACAAGAGGGAAGATTAGCATGTCCTGAGGCCCACAGAGAGGTCAAAAAACCCTGCAGCACATGTGCAGAGGCTTCTTCTGAATGTTGATGAATGGCTGATGATGGTAAGAGGCTCTGTGCACAAACACGCTGAGGTTCTTAATTTCTAGTTCTAGACAGTGTGCTTGGATCAATGCTGACTCTCATACATGCATTCCTTGGAAAGCTGAACAAACTGAGTGAAAACTCAAAACCATCATTCTCATTGATTGAGGTCTAGCACATTACTCCAGGAGGGACTAGAGACCTCGGATGGGAAGGTACAGGGGCAATTACTCCCACTGGGGGCACTACCTAGTTGGGCCAGTTACAATAAGAAAAGTCCCTTGCTGTGAAAAGGGCTATTCTGTAGACACCTCAGACTCCCAAGTGGTGGCCTCCTTGCTTTTTGGCTGTTGCTGGACCACAGGAGCTTAATGACTCAGTGAGAGTATGCGTATCTCTGGAATGCCAGGTATGGTGGCACCTGCTTGTAGTCCCAGCACTTGCAAGGCTAAGGCAGAAAGATTTCCATGACCTGCACAAACAAATCAGAACAACTAAAAACAGATATCTCTGGAAGAGTTAGCTTAGCTGCTAGCCTGCATCTTTATTGCCATTCTGTTTGCTGAGTCTTGGTGCTTTGGTCTTTTGTCCCCTAGAAGGAGACAGAATTGGTTGTTGGAAATGCAGCCCAAGACAGGCTTTCACATTGGCCTGGCTCCTTTTGGTGGTCTTTCTAGGACGTTGTAGTACCCAGGGCATGGCTATTGGAACTTTGGTCTCTGGGGAAAGACAAAGAACACGTGTGTGGTTTCCCCGTGTAATGATGCTGTGGAGAAATGTGAAATGGGTGGCTAGCTAGGCCTACCACAGGTGGGAGAAGTGTGATGGGTAGAGCGCTGTGGGTTTATTTTGTGGCTACCTTACAAAGTGATTCTGTGAGGGAATTTCCAGTGGCTGTCCCAGGGGTTTGGACCCATGGCAGGTGTTGGTCAGTCAGGCCCGTGAGGTCCCTGTCTAGTCACCCCAGTGGTCATAGCATTCGTATAGGATTCAGTGTGTCTGTTGCCCTGTCACGTTCAGGTATCAGCAGCCCCACCATGTGAGGTTAGAGTCCAGTTTTAGCCTTTGCTGAAGGCATAAAGTGGAGGGACACCTTATTTGTACAGGCTGTGAGCCCATGCACTAAGATGAACTTACACATTGAGACTATTGTTTGGTGACTTGCACTGGATGTGTGCCAACAGCTTTGTGCTGTGCCTTAGCTGATAGAAGGGTGTTTGAGAAGAGGCATCATGGAGACACCCTATTGCAAATGAGGTTGAAATAGGGAAGTAGAGCTGCAAGTGGATATTGACCAGTATTGCAGAAGCACACTGACTTTGGCAGTATGTCAGAAAGTATTTGTGGTGCTGGTTCTTGCTTTTAGGTTATGTGCCAATCAGTAAGAAGAGTTTCCAGGGCCATTGTAGCCTGTCATACCCAGTGAACAGTGGAGCATTGTCCATGGAGTGACCTTGTATAGTTGCAGACAATTCTGTACTTCTCTTGCCTGTAGTCTGTGGCTGACACATCACAGAGTTCAAGACTTCATTCTGTGGAAGGCAGGTTCTATAGGTATTTATGTACAATGTTGCTGGTGTGAACAGAACTTTGATAAGAGAATCTAGCTTTGTGCTTATTGGTGTGCTGATCCATGGATTCTCAATGAATGCATGTCTCATACACACATCTGGCTCTACATTACCAAAAGAAGCAGAGGCACATGGATACTAGATAGTAGGCAAGAGGATAGAGGCCATATTGCATTGCCCTTGTGACCTGTGTACCCATATACTTTTCTGAAGAATGCCTATGTTTCTTCTGTACTTCCCAGGTGACCTTGCCATATGAGGGACTCCAAACACTTAGTGGGAAGATCTGTATCTCTTCAGATCGCTAGAGAGGTCAGCAAGCCCTGGGACACATCTGGAGTATCTTCTTTTGTTTGATGATGGATGGCTGATGACAGTAAGTAGCTCCATGTACAAACTCATTTGAGTTTCTTAATTTCTAGGACTCAAGAATGTGCTTGGATTGATGATGACTGTCATACATACAATCCTTGGAAAGTGGAAAAAAATGAATGGAAAATCAATACTGTAATTGTCATAGAACTGAGGTCCAGCACGCTTCTCCAGTGGGGACTAGAGAGATAGAGGATGGCATGGAACAACTGACCATTAATTCCCATCACAGGCACCTCTCAACTGGGCTAGGAGGAGTAGGATATGGCCTGCCTTCTTCACAACAGCTGTCAGTGGATTTTTGGGACTCTTGGGTATAGCATGTAGCTTGTTTGAATGTCTGGCCATCCTTTTACTGACCAGGACTTGGACACAAAGAGTCTGTATAGGTTGCTGAGTTCGCTGTTGACCCAGGAATATTTAGTCTAGCTGCTAGCTTCATCATTGGTGGTCTTGGTGCATTTGGTCCTCCATTCTCTAGAGGGCGATAGTTTCTTGTGGTTCAGGATGGATCACCAAGCAGGCCTTAACACTGGCGTGGGCTATTTTGATGGTTGTTGTACCCAGGGCAATAGGGTATGATCCTCTGTTGGTGCCCATTGGGATTTTGCTCACCAACAGAAAGCAAGAGATACAGTTTCCCTTGTAGCAGTGGCCTGGAGAAATACCAAAGGGGTGGATAGTTAGAGGGTGAGAGAAGTTTGAGGAAGAAGGTGCTGTGCATGTATTGCATGCATGCTCATCAAAGTGATTTGGTGTCTTGGGATTTTGGTCCCATGGCAGTGATTGGTCAGCAACAACCCTGAGATCCCTGGCCACTCTCCCTAGTGGCCATAGCACTTGTATAGAATTCAGTGTGTCCATTTCTTCTGGCTGCCATGTACCAACCATGAGTAGTCCTACAACATGCAGTTAGGGTTTCTTTTCAGTCTTTGCTGAAGAACAAGGAAGGGTAGCAGAGGTGCAGAGGCTGTGAGCCATACAGTAAATGACCTTGTGCACTGAGGTAGGGGACTGTGGCATCTGCCCCTGGGAACATCTTTTTAAAAGCCACAGCTTTTATCTTCTGCATTGGCCAGGAGGAGGGTGTTTGAGGAGAGCAAATGGAGTTGGAGCAGCTCGTGAGCATTGTCCAGTGTCACAGCGCTGCTGTCTTTGACAACATGTTGAAAAGCACCCACTGTGCTGTGCTTAATTTATGCCACGTGCTGTTTAGTAGGGAGAGTTTCTAGGGCCATTGTGCCTATTGTACCCAGTCCATAGTAGGGGATGTTACACTGAGAACTGCACGGAGCCACAGTGCAGTACTGTGCCCACCAAGCTAGCAGCCTGTGGTCTACAAGGCCCCCTGAGAGGTTGAGACTGTCTTTGGCAGAAGGCAGGATCTGTGGGCATTGCTATGCCACACTGGAGGTGTGCAGAGAGGGCTTTGCTGAGAGTTTGCAGATCTGCGTTCTGTAGTCCAGTGGTGCATGCACTCTGTGAATGCTTGTTCTGTGCGCATGTCTGGCTGTACTGTACCAGGAGCAGACGAGGCATATGGGTCTTAGTGGACAAGAACATGGTAGGGCAAGTGACATGTCCCTCATGCTCTGTGTACCTGTCTCCTTTTCTAAAGCGTGCCTGTATTTCTTCTGCATTTCCCAGTTGGCTTTGCCATGTGATGGATTGCAGGGACCTAGAGAGAAGAACTGTGTACCCGAGACCCTCAGAGAGGTCGACGTGGATTGACCTCATTAGGGTAGCAGTGCGTGTCTGATGAAGGTAAGTGGCTGCACGTGCAAGCACACAATTTTTCCTAATTTATAGGGCTCAAGAATGTGCTTGGATCAATGATGACACTCATAAATGCATTCCTTGGAAAGCTGAACAAAATGAGTGAAAAATATATACCGTTGTTCTCATCGAACTGAGGTCCAGCACACTTCTGCAATGAAGGCTAGAGAGATGGTGGTGCTGGGGTAGGTAATGGGACAGGGCAGTGGCAATTACTCCCATTGGAAGCAGCGTTCACTTGGGCCAGGAGTAGGACATGACCTTCCTTGAGAAGTATTAGGGAGAGGGTATGTAGATGTCCTTCAGAGTTATTTGCTGAGTGAGGTTTCTAGTGGCTGTGGCATGGTTTGTGTTGGGGTCAGTATCTGTCAGCAGTGACCCTGGATCTTGGACTACCCACCTTAATGACCACAGCACTTGTGTACGATTCCCGTTTCTTCTGGTCTGTCCTATCTTAGCAGTGAGCAGCTCTGTAACATGGAATCAGAGTACAGGGTCAGCTTTTGCTGAAAGCAGAACTCAGAAGGACACTGGAGGTACGGAGGCTGTGAGGCTATGAGCTAAGCTGCCCATGCACACTGAGTCTGCTGCCTCAGGACTCTGCCACTGGATGTGTACCAGCAACTTTTATGTTCTGCAGTGGCTGAGACCAGGGCAGCAGAGGGCAGGGGTAATGGGGAAGTCTTGTGAATATTCAGTGCAGGGGAGGTGAGCAGCTGATAGACATTGCCAGGGTCCAGATGTGCCAACTTTGGCAGTGTGCAGGAACAGTGGTGGTGCTGGCCCTTGGTTGGAGCCATGTGCTAGTCATAGGGAGAGTTTCCAGGGCCAGTGTGCCCTTCTGGTCCCTGGTTCACAGTGGGGGATCGTCTATGGAATGACACCCCAGGCTCCCATGCAGTACTGTGCTTATGCTGCTAGTTGTCTGTGGCCTGCAAACCCCCTGGAGAGGTCAGGCTTCCTCTTGGGAAAGGCAAGTTCTGGAGATAGTGCTGGGTCACACTGCAGATGTGGAGGGTAGGGCTTCAACAAGAGGTTCGAGCTTTATAGCCTGCTGTGTGATGATGCATGCACTCACAGTGCATACTTTCCTGTGCGCAGTTGTCTGGCTTTCCTGTACAAAGAGCAGCTGGGGCACATGAATCTTAGATAATAAATAAAAGGTTACTTGGTCAAATTGAATTGCCCTCGTGAGCTTTTTACCCATCTGCTTTTCTGATTTATGACTCTTCTGCATTTCCCATGTGGCAGATTGCTGAGGCACAGCATGAAGACCTGCATATCCCGAGAGCCCTGGGAAGCTCTGGAAACCACGGAGCTATATGAAGTGGCTTCTTTTGGACGGTGGAGGATAACATTTATAGTGAAATTAAAGAGAAGGTACTGTGTGTGGAATCATTCAGTAGTTGTTAAATTTTCTGAACAATTCAGGCAGTAGGGTTGAGACAAGTGTTTCTTTGTTTTAAGTTTTCCCCATCAAAAAGCAAGTGGTTTTGTATGTATTTCGGTGCTGCCTTTAACTACATGACACAACAAACACTGTGGATGTGGAATAATTATATTTGAAATACATTTTCGTGTTGATTTCATTGGGCACCTTCGTGTATGTTCAGTGTTATCTTGTGTTCAAAGAGAGATCCTCATTATTATAAATGGTTTGAAGTAGACATAATGGGGGCACTTTGGGATGATTGTTTTATAAAATATTTTACACTCTTATGGTCAAAGATGCAAACATACTTGTTTTTGTGATACGGATGGTACAGTAAATATCTAATATGAATTTTCTTTTTTTTTCCTTATATGGATTCTTATACTTGCTTGTAACTAAATAATCAATTAGTAAAATTTTGTTTCATGATTTTCCCTATTTCCTCTGTATTTTGTAGATGAAGTATGTCCGAATTCCCTGGAATCTTGTCGCCAAACCAGAGAAGTGCTGATTTTGTCACTTGTACCAACTCCCTCATCTGTGAAGGAATAAAACAATGTACTCCTGGGGTAACGTTCATTTTTAATAAACGTATTTTTGTGTAATTTGAGTATTTTTAAAATTATCAACAAATTAATGTGTGAGCAGTTGATAAACGCAAGTATTATTGGCCATTACCAATCTGATGAGCTGTCTGAGATGTCACTCATTAAGATTTTGTGCTTTTCTCAATTTCAGATAATATCTAAAATATCTTACAGAGATTTATAAATTACTGTATTTTATATACAGATTAATAGTAAAATCTATCTTGTGCAAGTATGAAAAATGTGCAGAGTCTTCCTCCTATTCATTCATATGTATATTTGTGTGTGTGTGTGTGTGTGTGTGTGTGTGTGTGTGTGTATTACTTTCTGCCGGTCAAAGAGGACCAAGAACTGGGCTTCATGTGGATGAATTTATTCTTTCCTTTTTGTTTGACACAAAGGAAAGTATAAGGAAAAATTCACCCTCTCACTCTCAAGGTTCAGTGGGAGTCTCGTCTGGTAAGCATTTTTCCTGAAAACACTGACATTTCCCTTACAGCACCGTAATAGTCCGGTGAGCCTGGACTGCAGCAACACTAGGCAACTTTGGGGCTAGTACTTGGCGGTGGCACTGGTCTCCTATGGGCAAGAAAATAGTCTAAATCAAAAGAGAATGAGGCTTTTTACTCTTCATTTCTCTAGTGAGTGAAGGAAGTATATGGAAACTGAAAAGTGATTATGTAGGATCTTCATAGTATATTTTAAGTTTCTTGCTAACTAGGCTCTAGCATTGAATTGTTTCTTTTTTCTCATAGGCTGAGTGATTTCATATACAAATGAGTGTTAGCTTCAGCTACAAGCATTTTAGATGTGAAATGATTATGTTTCTAATTCTTGTTTTTATGTGGATTTTCTTGGCCAGTTTTATATATCCTCAAAGGGTTTTCAGCCATTTTGAAGATAGACCACAGTTATAATGTGGTGGGTGTACTAATGACACTTCAAGACCAGTATTTTAGAAATTTTATTTCTACAATTTCATTTTTTTCTGTTTTCTAGTATTATCCCATTTCATTTTATTTCTATTCATCCACATTCCACAGAGTTAGTGTTAATTGTTCTTGTCATACAGATGGTTAAATGATTACCTGGAAAATTCTTTGCAAGCACTTGTTGCTAAATACTCAGTTAGGTAAGTTTTGCTTTCCAATTCCCCAAATCCTCTATTGTAGATTGGAAATGATGTTGATGGGAAGGAACAAAAGTTTGCTGCTTGGAATTCTTACTAACACCAAAGAAAGACAATTTTTGTCACTTTAGTTTGTCACCAGCTTCTTCTGTGTGAGAGATCAAAATGATGCCTGCCATTTTTAATACATGTATTTTTCTAAGTGATTTTTATTAGTAAGTTAGAATTAAATTTCTTTTACAAAGTCTGTTAATCCAAATAGTATAAGACATTAGTAAATTGGTGAAACATCCAGGGCTTCTTTTTCCTCCCTCAGAATTTTGCACTATCAGTACTATAATGATATCAGAAACATCTCAGTAGAGTTATAAGTTAATATACCTTCTATGCAGACACATAATAAATCCTCTTATCTGGTACGTGGACACATGTGCTTCTCATGTTCTCACATTTTTACTGTATTCCCACAGGTCAACACATACCAAAAATAGGTTATATATGAAAAAGTTTATGCATTGCTCTTAAGACATAACATGAAGGGAATTGTTAGAAATAATTCTACCATCCATTCTTGAGACATAGTGGAAATTCTCACGATAAACATTTTTTCCTGCACATGACAATGCTGATACTCTTCTTAGGGAATTGCAACACTGCAGTGATAATGAGAGTCTGTCTGTGCTGGTCAGTCATGGGCTGGCTCATTGTATTCCCTGGTCTCCATGACTTAATAGTGTGCAAGAGGGGTGGGATATTTAGCATTTAGTATCTGTCACCTGTCCCTTTTACAAATGTGCTGGATAAAGGATGACTGTAATAAATGATCTATTGAGAATGTATACAAAATAAGCAACAGCTGCTTCTCTGTAAGACATAGAATGGGCTACATGACAAAGTCATTTTTAATCTAAAGTACATTGTGCTAATTTAAGTTCTGGAAGTGGGTGGGGTATAGGGCTGCATGGTTGTGGATACAATTAATGTCAATGAATTGTACACTTAAAAATGATTAATTGTCTTGTGCATATTTTACTACCAAAACAAAACCAACTACATTTCATAAACACTAGGACCACTGTGAAGAAAATAACTCAAAAAGATTAGAAGAATTTCCAAAGAATTAAAATAGCATCACAGAAAATACCTATTTTTTACACAAAAAAAGGCATTTAAAAATGAACAAAGAATCAAAGAGACATAGACATAGGAAACAGAGAGGAAAATGACAGTCATAAATCCGGCCTTATGACAGTTGCCTTCAACTTTTGAAGAGACTGGGATATTCTATGTTTAAAAAAAAAATGAAGTCACTGTAGACTATCTACCACCAAGACACTCTTAAAAGTCACAAATAGTTTGAATGAGAAAAGCTGCGAAAGAGACAGAGACAGAGAAAGAGAAGAAAGAGGGAGGGAAAGAATTCCTAGAAGATAGCTGGAGTGGCTATACTGACATCCCAGAAAACAGACTTGAAGATAAAATATTGCTAGAGATAAACAAATCTATTATATCATGGTAGAAGGTTAATTATACTCTGGAATACTTAATAATTATAATCATACAATCACTAACAACAGTGCTCCAAGTTAGGTAAAGGAAAAGATCACATGATGAAATGGATAAAAGGTAATTCAACAGTAATAAGACTTTTATCCACCAACTTGACCTTGGGGGGCAGGAGGAGAATATACAAAGAGAGATTAGGTTAAAAATATACTCATTAAACTTAAAAGAATTGAAATTATGTAGACTATGTTCTATGCTGATAGGAAAAATAGAAGTCAGAACAAAAATGAATTTGGAAATTGCCAAATATTTGGAAATTAACACACTTTATAGAACCTATGGATGAATGAAAAAGTTTTAAACCATAACATTTTATACTGAATGTAATACAACTAATGATGTGCTTAGTGAGATGACTACATTGGAATAAAGATAAATAGCTCAAGCTTCCAGTTAAAAAAATAAGAAAAATACTAAGAAAATGAAGCTAAAAGCAACCAGAGGTAAGTAAATAATAAAGATGTGAGAAAAAATTGATGACATAAAGAAAGAAAAAAATAGAGAAAATCCATGAAACCAAAAGTTGGGGTTATGCATGAATGAGTGTAACTGATAGATCTTTAGTAAATGGACACACTTAAATTAGGATTGAAAGGAAATATCAGGAATGTTCTTGGTTGCTTTGTTGTGCTTCCTCCAGGGGAGATCTATGGAGGAAGACAAGGTTCTAGTATCACTTACTATCCAGCATGGCATTTACATTTGGGTTCTGCTGGTATCAGTACTCATCCTTGTGAATTTTCCAGAAGATCCTTCAAAAACGTAGTATCACTGATTACAAATTGATGTGTTTATAGCCACTTAGAATTTTTTAGCTAATTATGTAATCTATTTTTAATAGACTTATAGTTGATCAGTATTAAGAGTATAATGAGTCACTCATAGTTTGGATACTTTTAAATTCTAGCAGTTTTGATATCCCTGTGCTTGGCTTATATCATAAAGGCATTGGGGATCAAGGCTGTTTGAATGATTCTGTCTTTTAGGAAGGAAGATGGTATTGGGCCAAAATGAGGCACCTGGTTGAGAGAATGTCACTGAGGCCTCAGCAGTGTGCCCTGTTGGGTATGAGTTTTGGAAGAATGTGGTAAATTCCTACACTTTTATGTGGACTCAGTGTGCACTTGGAATGTGTTTACCCTTCTCATCCATTTAGCCATGAAGTTTCCAGTTCCATGCCCCTTCTCAGTTGCTCAGTGTAGTCCAGGCAGATAGCTGCCCTTTATAACTGCCTCCTGGTTGGCATAGCTTGACAGCCCCCTTGACTGGCACTGTTGACTCCCATTCCCCACGCAGAATGTGCAGATGCACCACAGTGACCACTCCCCATCACAGTGTGAATCCATGGAACTCATGCCCACTTGCTTTAAGCTCATCAGTGAAATCCAAAGGGAAACCTGTTTGAAGAGCACCCTGGTGTCTGTCTGTCTCTGTCTCTGTCTCTGTCTCCTAAGAAATATATGGATGTGGATCTGGGGCAGATATATATCTCCTCTCCCTCTCCTGTCGGGAGCAATTCTACATAATTTGGGGGAGAAATCATTTGATTAGGCCTAGTTCTCCTGCCTACAGGCCAGCTACGGCATTTCGAGACATGGCTTCATTTTGGCCTTTGGTCACAACTGAGACCTCAATGGTCCAGTGATGCTGTGATGCTCCCAGGGCAGGATTACACCAGCTGAAGACATCCTGGGAAGAATGAAATCTTCATCTACTCAGTTCCTCATTGATCTAGGATTTCCCCTGCCCCCGAGTCATTTGTTACATTTATTTCTCCCGATGTACTGAATAAAGGTGTGACAAGCTCAGGGCCTTTCGTCTTTGCCACCCAGAGCAGTACTGATCGGGCGCAAAGTGTAGCTTCTACCTTTCCTGTATAATAAGTTAATTCACCTTGTGCTGCCGTGGCTCACAGGAGAGTAGGACTCAACTACAGAGGTCCTAGTAACGTCCCCTTCCCTGTTCCTACACCCTCCCTTTTCCCCTACTCCTTACTCCCTTCCCTCTTTCCGTGCACTTCCTGACCTCTATGTGTGACCCCAGGCATGCCATGTACTCCCCAGGACCTGTAAGTGACACAATCTTTATTTTTATCTTGTGTCTATCCTAATTATTGAAAGGGTGTTCTTTATCTCCCTGATCCTAAATTGAAGCAAACAGGAAGGGAAACTGCTTCCCAGCACTGTGCATGACAAGCTGCAACATCCTATATGAACTCACCGATTTAGTTATTTTTCTCAAGTTACTGTACAGAGTATGTTTTTGCAACATAATTGATAATCCTCATGGATGAAAATTGGTTCTTGAAGATGAAAAAAAATCTTTATTATCTTAACTGGCTTGTGAGATACATAAACAGATATATAGCCTACCCGTCCTACTGAAATTTGAGCAGGGTTGGTATGGATTAAAAACCAAAGAAAAATGTCTAAAAAATTATCCAAGGATGATAAAAAGAATAGGCTGAGAAGGGCTGTTTTACACATATGGAGAAATTAGCGTTTCTTCCATCTGAACCTCAGAACCAGGTGTGAACTGTATTGTTGGTACAGTTTGTCAAGATTGCCTTAGCACGGCAGGCTTTGCAGAGACCATGAGTTTAGAAGGCTGTATTTCTTTTCCCAGTTAAAGACACTTCATAGCTGTTTCTTCTGCAGTATGTTAGTTTAAACCTTTACCTAAGAGATGTGTCCGTGTGTGTGGTTGCTTTGAAGGAAACAGCTGTTTGTCTTCTGTTGGAAAGGCATTTGCAATTCAGAAAACTCAGCTGGCCCAGGTTCACATCCATGTATTTGTTGGCAGGAATTTTCAGAACCAAATTTAGTATATGTCTGATACCAAAGATTTATGTGTACACAGTGATTTGCCATTACTCTGGCCCCCCAAAATTTTCAAACCTTTGTTTAGCCCAAACCATTGTATAGTGCGACCCACTTAAAGGATGATTTATGGTGAACTTACACGTTTTTCTCTTTTTAATAGTAATCTGAACAAACAAGAAAGTATAACAGTCATTTGCTGTCTGAATAATATTTCTTTATTGTCATAATATTATTTCTAACTTTCTCCTCACGAGGCCAAATCTGTGTCTTGGTACACTAAGGAAACCACTAAGAAGTACCCTGACTCCACAATGTAAACACTAGCACTCCAGGGCCTTTGGCAGAGGTCTCCTGTCACTGTCTGCGTCTACGCTCTAATCCCTTGTGGTACAGGCTGCGGTAGCAACAAGATGGCATAATTCAGGGCTAGAGCCACCCCAAACACTGTGTTTCCCAGGTTCACTGAGAGAAGAATATGTAGAGTCTCTTAAGCTATTTCTGCTTGCGGACCATGAACTATCCTTGAATAGTCCATGGAGCTTGAGATAATTAGGCAAAGAGTAGACATGATTTCTATAGTTCATCTAAAAGTTTCCTCAACAATATCACCCAGCAGTAGACAGAATATCCATCCAGAGAGAGTTATACTGAACTTCTTGTTTCTGACTCTGAACAATTACATTTAAAACTGTTTCATTTATAAATTTGATTTTATTCTGCTTTAGAAAAATTAAAAAAACTTTTATTGCTTTTTTGATATATTTCTCTACATTTTGAAAGATTAATCATCTTTCCAAATAGTTATATCTTTTGTGTGAGTGTATTACAAATATTTTCCAGAGTTTTATTTTGTAACATCCATACTTTAATTGTGCAATATAAAAGACACCAGAAACAAGTGGCTATTTAAACCTGAATATAAATTAATTAAAATTAAACATTAGTTGTTGAGTCATACTAGCTGCATTTTACATGAGGCTAGAGCATATCTCTATGAGTGATCATACTCTTGCAGGAATGACCACCATGAGGGCAGGGAACTGCATTTTTGTAGGTAAGAGGCCTATAGTGTATAAGAGTAGATAGAACCACATGTGGACAGCATGGAATTATAAAATATTTTCACTGTCATATCACCAAGTTCTGTTTCATGCAAATTGTTTAGAGCCGCTACATGTATCAGTATATGATACAAAGATGCAGATGTGATAAATACAAGCTCTATAAAATGTTGAAATCTTAGCTAAGATTATTCAGAGGAAAGTGTGTTTGAAAATAGAATTATAAACTAGCATATTGATAAATATTTCTAAGTTTGGTGACTTTAGGAAGCAAGAACATAAAGTAAAGCTGTCTTCTATCAATGTTTATATCTAGAAGACAAATGCAAGTTTTAATTTTTATTGTATGTTTTGGCTTGGCTTTTCTTTGTAGGTAAAAGTTACAATTTTATACTTTATATTAACCTAGTGTTTGAAGATAACTTAATGGGCAACAGGACAATAGAAGAAAATCTGTAAATACATTTGGTAAAATTTGTAATTGTATTCTGCAGATGACTTAAAAAGAATATCCGAGTGAGATATATACTGTTTCTCATTTGTTCATTGGGTAATCAACAAAATTGTGGTGAGTAAGTCACATTTAAGCCATTCATTGCTCTATGCATTTTAGGGGGACTCTGATATGGTAATCAAATATATTTCTCATTTTGTCACATATAGATGTTTTAGTCATATTGGAATTGTTGAAAAATTACTGTATTGAAAAATTACATGCTTTCTTAAAAATAACCTAAGTAATGATATTGTATTCATGTATGTCTTTTAGATGAACAATAGTTAGGACAGTTTTGATTATTGTACATGAACATATCCTTTTACTAGATTATTGCTTTGGGACAAATTTTAGACTATTGTATTTTTTTAAAGAGTAATGTAATTTAATGCAATTTCTTTCCCTGTAAAGATGGTCTTGTGAAAATGGCTGAGGTAGAAATAAAATAATCTATCAATAGAATTGACATATGGAAGGGAGCTTTCCTTTGAGTTTAATAGAGACCATATTTTTGTTGCCATGTATATAGCAATAAAATTTTTATTTTATAGCATTTAGCCTAACAGAACAGGATATTTTATCTTGCTAACATAATTATTAGCTGGTCCCCCTCTCTGTCCATTGGACCTTTGGGGAAAGATAGAGCATACACATTTGTGCTCGACACTGAGAACTTAGCAACATCCATCCTTCCTACTCTGTGTACACCACACTTCATGAACAACATTTTCTTAGATTACATGTGTGCACTTGTGTGAGTATGGCTTATTTGTACACAAAGGTATGTGTGCATATATGCATTTGTTTTCTAAAATGTTATTTTCCCTCCTTTTTTCCTTCTTGTCAGGTGAAGATAAAGCCCATACAGGAGGGGCAGTTGTTCAGGCACTTGAATTAACTCCCAAATGTTAGTTCCAGAAAATGAGCTGACAGCATACTTTCCAATCAAAGTCTCCACTCCTGTGGTCTCTTGGACCCTCTTGCAGGTATGATCACTATGTGGGCAGGGAACTGCATGTTTATAGAAAAGAGACCTAAGATGGATATGAGTTGATAAATTTTGTTCTTCTTAAGCATGCTGAAATTTGGTTGCAGCCAAATAACATTAAAAGTCCATCCAAGAGCTAGATGGATATGGTTATGGTTAATGGTGAATTACAGCTCTGTGGCCATAACAAGTCTTCCTAAATTCAGGGTCTTTCTTTAGTAATCCTACCCTTAGCTGAATCAGACCACTATTTCTCAGCTCTAAATTTTTATGATTGATTCATCCATGGGCCTTTTTTTTCTTTCAGTACTGAGGATTAAATCCAGGGCCTTCACAATGAGCTAAGCCAAATAATTTTTAGCTTGTGTGTGTGTGTTTGTGTGTGTGTGTGTGTGTGTGAGAGACATAGATAGCTTGTGTAGTGCCTGTCATAGAGGTTTTTTCTCAACAAGCTTTTGTTGTGAGAAGATAAATAAGTAGACTGATTTGAGTGATTTTGTGAGCAACCTATCCAAGTAGGTAAAGATAAATGATTTTTTTAAAAGAACATAATTTTCAGTGAGACCCAGGCAGTCTACTCAATTTCAGAAATGCACAAGAGAGAAAAGCCCTGAATCAATGTGATGATCCTGAAATTTACAGAGATACAGAGCAGATAGTTATGGTTTCAGAGCTGTATAAGGAAGAAGCAGTTTCCTAATAAAGTCAGTATAGAAGAGAAGAAAAGAGTAAAGTTTCCAGATTCCAGCTGCATTTTTTTTCACTGAAAGTGGTATTTCTCATTGTTTTTTTCACTTCAGGAAATGACTTTCTGGGAGTGACTGCCACCAGTAAATCCTTGAAAGAAGATTCCGCATAAAGCTCTTCACATACATATTGTCCAAGACAAACTCTCTGAAGGTAAGGGTTTTAGATAGAATATTCCTTGCTTCCTAAGAGAATCCATGTCGGGGTAGAAATGAGATGCCGATTTCTTGAATGACTTTTGGGTACATTGTAATCACCTCTAACGACCAGATTGCATAATCAGTTAAGAGAAATATCTTCATAACTTTTCCACAACTCAGTAAATTTTCTGTCAGTATAAAGGATTTTCTTAACTTCTCTTTATCCAGGAAGTTGAGTGTCTTCAAGGTTGGTTCCATTGTGTTTCTGGAGAATTGATGTATTCATAATACACAATCTCAATATTTGTCAGGCTGGAAGGCTGACAAATGGTTTCATCCAAAATATTTCATCAAATGAATGCATGACTTAGACCTTCAAGGAGGCAAATACAGAGGGGAAAAGAAAGACACAAAATCTGAGGTTGCTGTAGAATGCTTAAAACTTTTTAGCCCAGAAAAAGGACAAAAAACAACTGCAATATCTATTTTTCTGGCCACAGCATGGACTCCACTGCTGGAATTGGGGCTTTTTCTGTGTAGTCTAGGAAAATTTGTTCCAGTACATGTAGGAGAATAGTAAATAAAGTTTGCACAGCCCCCTGCTTGCTTTGGAAATGTAATTTTACCTTTGCCAATTCTTCCCTCTGTGTCCTTGCAGGTGGCGATCACAGTGGTGGTCGAGGTGATGTGTTACAGTTGGAGCTGTTACTTCTACCACCATCTGCACCAAAACAGTGACAGTTTTCCTTTGCTGGAGAGTCCTTCTTTCCCGTGTGGCAGTGGATACCTTCTGCAGATAAGAAATGCTTAACTGAGAAATGCTCATGTTGGGATGTCATCGATGAGACTTTAATTTGGGCATGGTGACTATTTCCCTTCCTGCCACTTGACTCAATCCCAGGAGCCTCAGTAGAGGAAATATTTTTGCACAAGAAGCTCAAAATGGTGGAATTTCTCAGTGCTCCTATAAATATACATTTACAATTTGTATTTGCCACATGGGATAAATTTTAAAGTAGGATATATTCAAAAGAAACCACATGATTTTTTTCAAAAATTCAAAGCGTATTCAAATAATTAATATATAAATTAAGTGCCCTGCTCTCTTTCAATTCTATAGTTTTCTCTATTAAGGGAGGTGTGTGCATTCTTTTAATGTATAGATGTGCACAAGCTGTTTTTTGGAGGGGTCTAGAAGTGGGTCCATCTTGTAATATATTCTTCTGAAAATTGCCTCCTTCATTTACCAGTCTTTTCAATGGGCATTTTCTAATATATACACATCTGTGTCATTTGGTGAGTGACTGCATGATTGTTTTGTAGATGAAATATAATTAAATGTTTGAGGTATCTCTCATTCATAGATGTTTATGTTAGCACCAAATTTCTGTGCAGTGAACCTCCCTACATATCAACAATTCTACATTTGTCAATGATATCATAATAAAATTCCTTAGCAGTTGAATTACTGGGATTAAGGGTGGGCACACTTCAAATTTTGAAAATTATTGCAAGATTTCCTTTAAAATGTGATTAATAACTTTATCCTCGATGGCAATGAATGAGGTTGCCAACTTTCTCACAACCTCACAGATAAATGGACTTTATAAATATTTAAAATCTTTGCCAGTGCGATCGCCCAAACTATTGTCTTAAATTGTATTTCTTTTGTTTTTAAGTTTAATCATTTTTTCATATTTATTAGCCATTTGTATTTTTTAATTTCCTCTTTATGCCCAATTTTGGGGGTGTGGGGAGGTTTTAGCCTCAGATTTCAAAGAGCACATTTATTATTGGTAAAATAAGTTTTGGATTGTCAAGCATTACAGATATTTATACACACTTTTTAACTTTGTTTTTGTTATAAGAATGTGTATGATTGTTACATGTTCAAGTATAACCATGTTTGCTTTGATAGCTTCTGAGTTTCATGTCATTTTTGGAAAGATATTTATACTGAGTCCATAAAACCCTTCACCTATGTTAACTTTGAATTCTTTTGTGTTTTTTTAATTCAAATTCTTAAATCATGAGGAATTTTTTGTTTTGAAATCTTAAAGCTGCCAAGTTATTCGCCATTACTTGCGATTATTTGCCAATAATTGCCCATTTATCTGTAACCATCTTGCGCATATGCTGTATTCCCATCTGTGACTGGCTCCATTTTTGTTCTGTGGATCTGTGTGTCTCTTCTTCTGCCTTCTGTCTCATGTGTCTTCTCGTTGGAAGAAATTACAGTTTAGACTGCAATTTCATCAACTTTAATAAATTAATTTAGGGGAGAATTGTTTCTTTAATAATATTAAGTCTTCATACTCAAGAACAAGGTATGTCTCGGTTTCATTCAGTAATTTGAATTGTGGTTAATATTTTCACTTTGATATTGGGGTTCTTTTAATTTATTTGTTTGTTCATTTTTCTGTATCTGGAAATTTAGTTTTGTTTTTTGGGGTCCGTGGTCACCTTACTGTTTTTCCTTGCTTTTCAGATTTTTTTCAAAATTCTGTATACCAGATTCTTTGCAAATATTGATAGTTTTGATTTCTCCCCTTCCAGTTGGTCCTGATTTTGATAAAGTCCACAGTCTGGTACTTTCAGAGCACTTAAACAGTTGTGGAAGTATTACCCACCCTTGATTTAAGTGGGTTTCAGTAGAATGCTTCTTAGGTTTGAGCAGCACATTTTTCCTTATCTGTTTCCCGAAAGACCACCCAGAAGAGCTATGACCAAGTAAAGCTGAGTCGGTAAACTTAACCGCAGCAAGGGAAAGCAGCTCCTTGACAGGACTTGGTAATATCTGCAAAGTGGACTAAGGGTGTGGAGGCCTGGGCTGATGTGTCCAGGGTGCGGAACTGATGGGAAGGGCAGAATCCATCATGCAGTGCTTAGGGTTGGTGGAAAGGTGATCTGGTTCTCAGGGGAAGTCTTGACGAGCAAGTTAAGTACTAAGTGAGCTGTTTGCTGAGGTAAGATGCCATCAGTGACAGAAGGCCTGTTTGCCTAGATGAGCAAGCTGAGTGTATTTATCAGTTTACAGTTTTATCTGGCTGAGCAGGACTCTGTTGGGGTGGTGTCAGTTCTTATTCCCAATAGGTAAGTTATTTTAATCATTGAGATAATAAGATCCTAACTTTAAGGTTAAGAAATTCAGTCTGTTGCATTACAAGGAAAGTCTTCCACTTTTTATATTTCTCTCAGGAACTTTAATCACTACCAAGCAATACATACAATCAATGCTTTTTGCACAAATAGCTGTACTATTTGTTTTAAAAATGTTTATCACCATAGAAGAATTAATTTTCTTTTATTAAAACTTCTTTTTATCCTTTGCATGAGTAAACCCTATTTTATTTTCAGAGTGTTTTACTATTTTAATTTACTGCTGAATTCTGGATTTTATTTGAACTTTTGAAAGTATGTGGCTAGGTAAAATTAATCTATAATTTCCTTTTTGTGCAATTTTATCATGTTTGATATCAAATTATCTAGTTGTGTTAAAATGATTTTGAGGATTTTCTTTTTACTCTGTGCTGTAGAATAGATTTATTTATTTATTTAATTTATTTTTGTGGGGTACTGGAGATCAAACTCGGGACCTTGCACTTGTGAGGCCGGCAGCAGCACCATTGAGCTAGATCCCTGGCCCTAGAATAGGTTTTAAAGCTCTAACATTATCATCAGTGGTGACGTGTACACATCAGTGAAATCACCTGAACTCTCCCTTGTTTTTGGCTGTTTGGACTAGAAGTGAAGCTGTCTCAGATGGACAATTTTTCATTCCTTTTCTATAGTAATTTTTTTAATGTTTTATGTCTTGTATATAACCTTTTTCTTTTACAAGGTCTAAATCCATGCAGATTTTTCAAATACATTAGCATGAAGTTTTGATTATTTCTTCCTTGCCTTTTTTTAGCCAAATAGTTTAGTATATTTTTAGCATCACTTGTCCTCCCCTCTCCAGTCATATTTTTCATATAATTTATCGGTTTTCTAAAATGTCCTTATTTATCTGCATATTTCCCTGTATTCCTGTACTTCTTTTCCTAATAAATCTTAAGCATGTATAATCCATTTATTGACACTTGTTCTTGGTAATGAAAGATTTGTTCTGTTGTATAATTTAAAAACTTTTCATTATGAATAATTATAAGCATAAAGACTATGAAGAGAAAAGAACAGTGAACTTGCGGATACTGGTAACCAGGAACCCATGTTCAACTGTGAACATTTACCATATTTGCTTTATGTTATTATTTTTTTTATTTTTTATTTTTTGGTACCGGGGATTGAATTCGGGTCCTTGCGCTTGCACAGCAGGCGGGAAACCACTGAGCTAAATCCCCAGCCCTGCTTCATGTTATTTTAAAAGAGAAATTATAACACTTTTCCTTTCCCAGAAGCAATTTTTTTTTTGTACTGGGGATCGAACTTGGGTCCTTGCGCTTGTGGGCCAGGCGGCGGAACCACTGAGCTAAATCCCTGGCCTTCCCAGAAGCATTTTTATAATTTATTTTAAAAATCATACCATATATTACTAAGTACAAATTTTACAAGAGTCTGTTCTGTGAAATATAATTCCTTCTCTGTTCTGTCCTCGCTGGCCACCCACTTTATACTGTCTGGAGATAACTAGTGTTTTTTTCCTTCAGACACCCACACCCACCCACCCACACACCCATACACCTCATGATGTCTGTATATAGATACATACACACATAATTTAATACTTTCCTGTTACCTGGGAATATTTTGTAGTTTTCAGTACAGAAACATGCTTTATACTTTTTCAGTATGGAAGCATTGTTAAATTTATAAATTTAATTTTAGGTAAAATTAAATTGTTAAATCATGTTTTGATGATATTGTAAATCAATATGTTTAAATTTGATTTTTCTGATTTTGTGGTACTTTCTAAAAATTGGAATGTTTTCTTGCTGCACATACTTTTAAATTGGGTTGCTTTTCCTAATCTTAGGAAATAGCATCCAGTTTCATACCATTAAGAAAGAAAGCTACAAAGTTTTATGTAGATGCCTTTTACCAAACTGAGCAACTTTTTCAAGTGCTAGTTTACTGATACATTTTATAGTACAGATAAATGTATTGGATGCTTTTTATACATTTGCTGATAATAATCCTGTTTTCCCCTTTATTCCATTGTTGTGGGAAACCATTGATCAGGCTTTGAGTGTTAACCCAACACTGCATTTCTAATATAAGCCACTTGGGTATTATTACTCTTTTGTATATATATATTTCTGTATTCAATTTCCTACCTTATATTTAAGGATGTTGTAACTATGTCCATGATGGTCATTAGCCTGTAGTTTTCTTTTCTTTATTATTTGTTAGATTTTATTAATCTTCATTCAATGTATTGATTATTGTCCTCTCCTTCTATTTTGCTAGTATTTCTTCCTAGGAGGTTTAATAGATTTCATTAGTGGAATCATTTGGGCTTGAGTTTCCTTCATGATATTTTTATTAACAATTTCAATTCTTTAGTAATAGGTAATTATTCTGAGTTTGTTTCATCTAATGTCAGCTTTACTAAGTCCTGTTTTTCAAGGAAGTACTCTATTTTATCAGTTTTCTCAAATTCAGTGGTATAAAGTTGTTTATAATATTTCCATATTACTCTTGTAATACCTGTAAGATATGTAAAGATCTCATTTTCTCAGATCCTGATGTAGGTTATATCATTTTCCTTTAGATCACTCTTTCCAAGGTCCCCCTTTTTATTTATCATTTAGAAGATCCAATCTTTGACTTTTTATTATCTTTTCACTCCATTACTGATTTTTGATCTTGCGTTTCTTTCCTACTGCTTGTGTTGGTTTTAATATGCTTTTCTGTTGGCTGTTTAGGGTAGAAACTTAGGTCATGATTTTAGACCTTTCTTTGTTTCTAATATAAAAATTAGAGATAATAGACATTGTATTAATGGCCTCAAAATTTTTTGATAGTTGTAAATATCATTCAGTTCAAATATTTTCTTATTTCTTTGTGAGTTTCTTTTCAGGGGAGTGTATTAGTCAACTTCAATTACTGAGGCAAAATACCTAACACACATAATTTAGAGGAGGAAAGGTTTATTTTGCCTTGGGGTTTCAGGGTTGTCAGTCCACCTGTGGTTGGCTGACTCGTAGACAGAAACAGTGAGACAGAGAAAGGCTGTTTACCTCATGGCAGTTAGAAAGCAGAGTAAGAAGGAACAGCCAGAGTGGAAGAGGAAGCCAGAGAGCAGATAATAATTCCCAAGGTTGTGTGCCCCTGAGCCACCCAAACATACCCAGAAGTGTGTGTTCCTAATCTCCTAGGTATATCTCAAGCCAGTCAAGTTGATGATCAAAATTAACCATCTCAAGTTTACCCCTTGTCTACTCAACACCCAAATACATCTCCTTAAATAATACTTAATCTCCAGAGACAATGTAAGGTCAGAATTGCACCTAACATGATCTAACTATTCTATATACAACCAAAAATATACTAATTCTTTTTCCAAAGTCTTAACTGTCCCAACATTGCTCTAGGACCTAAGGCAAACTGTTTACCTATGAGCCCCAGTAAAATTTAAAAAGCAAGCTTCATGCTCCCAAGATAAAATGACACAGGGTAAAAATTCCCATTCCAAATGGGAGGAGTATGGGAATAGAAAAGAATAGGACAAACGCAACACTGAAACTCAGGATAGCAAACATTAAATCTTACACCTCCATGTCTGGCATCCAGGGCACAGTGAGCTCCAGAGGGCTTGGGCTACCCCACCTGATGGTCTTGCTGGTTGTAGCCCATTTGGCCTCTTTCCTAGGCTGGCTCTGCTCAGTGCCTGCAACTTTCCTTGGTAGACATTCCACATTCCTGATATTTCTAGCCTCTGAGAGTCTCCACTGAGGCTTCTGCCTCACTCTCACAGCTTCACGTATCACTCGGGCTTCTCGCAGGGACTCTGAACATGTCACATACCTGGAAGTTTGAGTGAAAGTCTCCATGACCCTGTAACTCTTGAATTCTGCATGCCTACAAAATCATATGTCTGACACCAAGGTCTGCCACCAGCTTGAGCAGTAGCTGGGCCCCCTTGGAGCACTAGCACTTCTGAGCACCAGTATAGCTATACATAGTAAAATGAATACCATGGAATCAATTTGCTAGGTGGGCTTCTTGAGCTGGGGCCCGGAGGGGACACTTTTCTCAAATAAAATTTTATGCTTTTGGACCCTTGAGCCTGTGATGGGTGGACTCTTGCTAATTTCTGAGATGACCTCAAGACATCTTT